TAGCAAAATTAGTTCAAGGATGAGTGAGGAACCTGGGGTCAGCCAACCTCGGTGGGCTCTTGTGGCTCTTTGTCGGCTGATGCGTATATGTCTATATGCCTACAAATGAAAATAATAAATATATATGGTTCCCCGATCGCGACGGTCCCGCATTTTTTAAGACGTTTTGAGTTGGTCAGTTCTCACAATCACAACCAAATATTTTGCGTCGAATGGAACTTGGACATGAACTTAAAAATACATACATATAACTATACATCCAGAGATAAAAGGCTGAGAGCACATAGTTTCGTAATACAAAGTGTGGCATTTTGAATCTCCACGATTTTTGGCAAATAATGAATACTAATAAAAAATAGATGTCATCAACAAGAAAATATCATTGAAATGGAAAAGGAAGAAATACAGGACAGAAAAAGACCAGTATAAATGCGAGACTTATTTCTTTCTTACCTCTGAGTCGATGCTAAATAAAACCTTATCATATCGTATAATCCCCGCGTGTAGGTCAGATCAACCACGAATCGCTACGGCTTGGTTTAAGCAATGATGCACAGGGAAAAGGCTTTTGGAAATTAAATTGCTCCCTGCTTACAAATTTGAGCCATCTAGATCTGGTCAAAACTGAACACGCATCACGCCTCTCGTTTCACTCAAGCATGCAAGCGAGCTGAAGCAAACAGGCACCACACATCACGCATCAATTATACATGCAAGCGATTTCAACTAAACAAGCATTGCGCGTCATGCATCAGGTGTCACTTACACATGTACACGATTTTAAGCTATCACACATTACACATCAAGCCACGTTTCACGTTCGCATAATCAGCAAATGATGAGACCTGTACGTTGAGATTTGGTCGCCGACTTTTTACAAAATCCTGGAAGGTATGGACCATATGCCCCTTTTAGAGCTCAAAGTTATCTACAGAGTACGGAAGTACTCAGACAGGAAACTAAGTGAATGTTTTCTTATAAAAGTCGACGACCAAACCTCAACACACAGGGCTCATCATGGCCGATTATGTAAACGCAATATGTGCCATGATGCGCGATGCCTGTTTAATTAAAGTCGCTTGCATGTATAATTGATGCTTGGTGTGTGGTGCCTGTTTACTTCAACTTGCTAGCGTGCTTGCATGAAGCGTGACTCATGATGCCTGTTTATTTGAATCCGTGTGCATGCACACGTATTTTCGCGTTTTTTAATTCTTAGATACGTACTGTATTGTGGTAATGACTGGCAATTGCTCCTTGTTTGGTTCCTGGGTGTTGGTGTCCAAAAAAACTGTGGCTTGCTATTTTAAAAATAGAAAAAAATCGAGTACGATCATCGGCAGGTCGTTTTGAATTCACTTCTGATATTCTTTCGATTGAAGCATTTTGCCGAAATGTCAAGGCATTGACATTTCCATTCGCCTGATTTTTCTCCGAAGAACAAGGCTATTACTACTGTGTTATCTATGTGAATACCGTTCCTCGCGCATGCACTCAACAACGTACGTGAAATACTCAGGTAGTATATGGTGTGTTGTCGGATGTGTACACAAATGATAAAAGGAATCCTACTTTTCCGTAGTTTTAAGTCTACATTTAACACGATGAGTTGGAACGTTTTATATTACTGCTTACAAAAGCTCAGTTTCGGCACCAAGCTCATAAATGTTTTTCGTTGTTCGCACAAACATACGTTTCCTCACATTGTCTTCAATGACCACTCGTCAAAACACACAATACATCTGGAGAAGGGTTGCAGACAAGGAGACCCCGCACCACGCCATTTTTCAAAACAGGTCCTGAAATTCGGTCCAATTTGAATCAGACAGAATAATACCATTCGAGGATTTATATTAAGCGAAACACCCGTTAAAGTCATCCAATGCGCCGATGATAAAACTTAAGGCATTTACACGTGCAAACACATACCCTGACGTTAATTTGAACATTGATGTGAATGTGTTAAAAGATCATGAGATGATATTTCTCGATATCTGTCCGGACATGGCTTGGGACACTTCAGCAACAAAGTAAGAGTATTCGGCGACTGCAGCAGTAAGTTACAACCCACATCGTCACAACTGCAAAATATGTCATATGCGATGCGAGGCGTCGATATATTCACCCGTACTTCAATTACTTTAACACATTGTTCAAGCGAGACTTTGACACTGAAAAATACATAGCCAGAGAGCATGGTAAAATGAAGAACTAAAGAAAAAAGTAAAATGTTTCATCGGGAAATATAAATTCTGTCAATGAATAAAAGACCGACAAAGCTTTCGGCAAGATTGTTAAAATCATCTCTATTCTTCCACCAGCGGATTTTGTGCCTTCTCTCCTCAACGTCCCCCTAGCCATGCTATTCGCTCAGTCTCTCAAGCGTGTCGTTCGGTCCTGCCGCGCCTGGCCGACTGGCGCTCTGGACCGCGCCACTGCGCACCCCGCAGTGTGGCCCTGTCACTGCTGCCGCTGCCGCCTCGCACCTGTCAACATGCCCTTCCCCTCACCCCCCCCCCCCCCCCTCGGACTTTGCTGCCGCCCCCTCTGCCGCCATAGCTGCCGCCGCCGCCGCTCCCGCCCAGCTGTGTGAAGCCGCGCTGGGTCACACGCTCGTGCCGGAATCTCGTGAAATGTCTGTTTCGTACAATTGTGTGTCTGTAGCTGAGTGAAGGATGTCGCAATGTGATTGATGTTCGTTGGTTTCCTGTTGTTGTGTAGCTTGTGTCTTTCGCCGACGATATCATTAGACCTGCAGCGCAGATGATGGGACAGTTTTGCTGAAGATGTGTAGCTGGTAATCGTCGGCTTATGGAACTGCAGAATTTGAATTACGCTGCTATGTCGTCATAAATGCCAAAGTGACTTCGAAATACTCTCCTCGATATACCTTTCCCCATTTTTTCGGGCGTGTAGCTCGAAAAACAGAGGGGCTTTGGTCTTCAGAAGGGCAGGACTGTAAACAGCACCAAAAAGCATTTAAGATGACTATGTTAGTTCAAAACCTCACATAAATGTGGGACGCCCCCTTTAACTTATTCGATTATTGCAAGTCATATTTCCGTAATAAATAGGAAAAATGTCCAGTTTCTTATACCATGCCGAACAAAACGCAATTCGTGACTGAAATTTGCACAGATTGCTCAACGTTGATGGAGAGCAAATTGATGCCCATAAGATTTGGAAATCACGCTCACGGACGCTGGATCTCAACGGCCGGACGATAATATTACTTGTGGCCTTGAGCGCAGCCTGTTGCATGGGTGACAGGATTTGAATGACGTTGCTAAGGCGTCGTGCACTTACATTAATGCTTTCAGAATAGTCTCCACAAATAGGCTGCACATCCTCGCAGGCGTGCAGCTCAGAACTATAGGAAATATTTGTTAAGAAGGGAAGAGCTGTGAACTGCACCGAGTAATCTCAAACTGCTTCTTTAATTTTCAAACCCCATACAAATGTGGAACTTTACATTCATTAAGTTTTTACGCTCAGTGCAGTAGATTATTGATGTACGCAGTGCGTTCGCTTAGCGGCATTCCATGTGCAAGACACTGAATTGACACTTAGCGGGGAGATTATCTCCATGTAGTTTTTCACTTTACACTTATAATCAGCCGAATTTGTTTTTACCATTTCGCCAGAATAATTATGTTTCAATGGGACGAAGGTTTCGTGTGGGCCGCAGTTTCTAAAAGACCACAAGTACTAATCTAATGTCGCAAGTATTGAAAACCTGTCACTAGAGCCTCTGAAATGAGCAAATTGATGACCGTTTTGGTATTTGACACATACCTGGTGAAGCATTTTGTTGATAACAAGGTAGTACTACCCACAACATGCTGTGAACATTTCTGCTCAAGGAGATGGCGTCGGCGTTTAAGTTGATGAAGGCGTCGCTCATGCCACACGGATCTGTGTGGCATGAGCGACGACTTTATGGCATGGCATGGCAATGTCATGTGCCACGCCTCACTACATGAAGGCTAGTGCAACGGTCAAAGCGGCGCACGGGCACACTGGAGGCTTGTGTAGGTGGGTAAATGTCGGGAGTGCGTGTGTGGGGGGAGGGGGGGGGGGGGGGCGATACCGCGCGTATTGAAGGGCACAGCGTGGGTAGTGGCATGTGACAGTGCCGCCCCCGCCCCCCCCCCCCCTGGTCTGACAGGCATGAGATACTACAATATCGCAGCGAAATACTCAGCTCTGTAGAGCCTTCCACTTATTTTATATGCAATGTTTTCCCATCTCGCGGTTTTTAGAATGTTACGATCGAATAGGTATGCCCAAGACACCCCTGAAAAATGTTTTGCGTTATGTAATGTTATGAAAGAAGTTGTGTGTTAATGTAACGGGTGTCGCTCCATCACATATCTGCAACTGCACGCATCACGCCAAACTGAACGCCCTTGAGCGCCATTATTTCTTCTCCGAGTAAACAAACAGTACCCAATCCATTGTGTCTCAGTCGGACTAGTCATATCAAAGTCAACCAAACTTAAGTGGCGTCTCTCGGCAGTCTCCCAGTCCATTCCAGTCCGCTTTGCTGGACGATCAAATTCCTCAACATCTCTAGCGACATTTGTGAATGCGAATGCCAGTCCACTTTACTGGACGATCAAATTCCTCAAAATCTCTAGCGACATTTGCGAATGCGAATGCCAGCCCACTTTACTGGACGATCAAATTCCTCAAAATCTGGCGACGTTTACGAATGTTACGTGATTTATTTGGGAGTGCGCAATCTGCATAGTCCCACTAACCACGACCAGGGCGCACGCAGTTCCGCCTGATGTCCTGCACAGTGCCGTGTTGGACACCGTACGCCTCCTGCCAGCCTTTGACAGCGGTGACATTCCCGCAGAGGTTAGAGATCTGCGCACAGAAAATTGACGACAGCTATTGAACGTGTCAGGAGTAACTGACGTTGCACTGTGGCCTTCCTGGCTCGCCGTGCGTATATAAAGTGGGCGGGGGCCTGGTTGGGTATCAGGTTTCTCTTCGGTCGCCAAACATGCGCCTGCTACCTCTGATCCTGCTGCTCTGTCTGGCGGTCTTCGCCGTCGAAGGTAGGTTGCCGCACACGCTGATAACAGGTTGTTGGTTCCAGTAAATAGAGGAGTTGAGAGCAGGCAAATGTAGTCTGCCGATATGGCGCGGCAAGTCCTCAAGTACAACACCGACTCTTGTCGGTTGTAGAGCCGCCCTGCCAACTCCGCGGGATGTTATGTCTTGTCTCCGAAACCCAGAACGAAAATACGTCGTGTGCGTGAGAGTGAGTTCATATAAGTGCGCCACAATACGCCCAGGAACTAGGTACGGGCTCGGCAACAACAGCACGGCAAAAGCAGCCGGTAGAACCGCGCAGTGTGTCGTGTGACGGATTCTCCCTTCCAGGCAGAGGCAAAAAGGGCTTTTGCGGCAAGGGTGGCCTCTGGTGCCCCAAGGGCCAAGTCTGCAGACCCTGTGGCAGGGGAAGATGCTGCCGGCCCGTAAACCGTGAGTACTGCATGGGTGACAGACGGTATCCTATTGATGCGGCATGTCTCCGCGTTGCATGCAGATGAACAACACCGCCATATAATATCGCTGTCGGTAAATAATATCGGTATATATATCGACATAAATTGACGGCATTGACATCAATATATTTCATTCCATTTCAAATCGCATTATCCAGTGAACGAAATGCTGATACCAGGTAGAACTGAGGCTCAGTGAGGCAAGTGGCAAACTATAGGCTCCAGGTGACGTGTGTCGGAGCGTCGTGCCCACTTATGCTGGCCCACCTGGCCACTTATCGAGCCATACTGGCCGCGATGCCCACTCTATTTCAAATGTAGGGATGCAACGCGTACTTATGGTGCGACGCAATCGCAGCATAGCCTTGCCAGGGCAATGTATCTCCAAGAAAAATCAGCAAAATCAGCCCCCGCATTTGACGACATTTTCCCTGGCCTCCTCTTATCCCACATCAAGTGGGGTGAGAGGAAGACGGGGAAAGTCACCAAGAAAGACAGGGAGCGTGGAAATCACATTTCCCCGGGTGGTTTCGACGCTCGCTCTCACCTGGACATGCTACAGCAGCTGTCAGCCGTGGCTCAGTTTCACGGTCGCCCCGACGGAGGCTCCGTCAGAGCTCTTACGCAAACTTTTAGGAAATCTGACTGTGCGGGGCCAGGCTTGGTGGCGGAGGTCACTCACGATACCCGCGCCACCACCCCACTACCTGCCTCTCTGCCTAGTCCCATAGCCCTAAAATGGTCAAAACTGACCGACAGGGCTATTATCCCCCGATCCCGATAAAAAACATCGATGGTAAAATTTTCGTGTGTGCGCCCTGGGTGATTTTTAAAAAAAAATGATCGAGTGCGCGTAGCCACAAACGTACCCCGCCAAAGCGACCAGCGGCGTTGTTCTGAATTCGATGTCAGGTAAACCCTCGGCCATCCTGTGGCTGGTAACAAAGGAGAAAAGACGCCTTTTCTGTCATTAACGTAATTTGGCACCATCTGAATTGTCACCTGGAGCCAAAAATTTCACAAACCGTTGGAATACAACTCTATATGCGATATACCACAAGAACGGAGACAAATTAAATGAAATGCGGTAAACCCATCAAACATTTTCGTTTTGCGAGTTTATTTGCACGAAAGTATCATGTAATGGCCGTAAAATACTAAACGATGATTGAGAGTTGACTAACAAAAGAATGAGATAAAGGCCTCATTGACATAACCAGTCTAGAGATGTGTAGTTTCCTGTCCATTTGAGGGAGGGTGGGATTGTGCCCCAAACCAATGGTGAGGCTGCCTATTTTCAGTTATTATTTCTATCCATAATTTTTCACTTTTTATACCTTGTATGGTTTAGCCCCCAAAACTAATTTTGAGAAACTACACCACTGCTCCCAAGGCAGTGAAAAGAAAGCGCATCAAATCTGGGGAAAAACTTATTTGAATGCATTTCGGAGGCAGTTAGCCATGTTTTCCTTTGCATCCTCTTCACCCTCCCTCCTTAACCCCTACGTATTTTGGAAAACTGCATCCCTGGAGACTTTCATTTACCGATATCATGGTTCTACAGGCACCTGGAGACAATATCACTTTTCGTTTTGTGATATCGTACAATCAGCTGGAAACGAGGGGCAACCTTCACTGTCTTTGCATAATCGTTACCGGTGCAGAGCTCGCCCTTTCGAACATGACCCTAACTATTTGCAATAAAACCCATGTAATCTTGGTATCAACAGATGCAAACAATACTTTTGGTCACTTTTAGCACCTTGATCATCTTTATGTGCAATATGATGAGAATTGAAAGTGTTTAATCTCATGCCTGTCCACTGATCAATACGCTAAGTATGAGGTGCAACGGGCAGTGTGAGAGGTCCGTGCCAGCGACGCTTGGCTTTTTACCTCAAAGCCGCTGTTCCTCTCAGCAGCAAGAGGCCCCGGATGAACTCTTGACAGGAGTCGCCCCAACGTCCTCCGTTACCTACGCAGCTACGGCTCATTTATCCACAAACAAAAATCCTCATAGATCAGCAAAAACCTTTAACGATATGCGCTTTAACGCTTTAACGCTAACGCAGTGCTTCGAAAACAAATGGAGCAGTAAGAGCAGCGAGTCGTTGTTGCAGTGTGAAACTACACCGCCTTGCACTGCGAAATGATAACGAAGAGTTGCCATATCAAAAGTGACCTATCGGTTGCATTAATCCTGAGCATTTCGCTGTTTGTAACATGGATGCCTTCACACACCAATGCATGTGGAGGAAAATGCCCAACACGCGACATCCTGTAACTGTTGTCCTGTAATGGTTGTCCTGTAACTGTTGTCCAACCTGTAATGGGTTGTCGAGTCTGACGGTGGCCCTACGCTTCAGTTGCCTGCGGCAAGCCGGGAGGCTTCTGGTGCCGTAAGGGCTACTCCTGCCAGTACTGCAAAGGCGGCAGATGCTGCAAGCCCAGTGAGTCTTGGGGCGGACGAGCGCTGTTAGGGGCTATCCAAGCATGATATGTGTTCTCTCGTGTCGAAATGCAATTTCATGATGCTAATGGTTGAACATAATGTAAATAACGTGCGTTGCAATTGCCACGTCCGATAAATATTTGTTTTAAGTAAACGCATGGATCCACAGTGTATGCCGTATACATGGCATTGCTTTCAACTGTTCTTAAGTTATGATGTGTCGAATAGGTGAACTTTGCGTCCGATCTTCCAAAATTAGATATTGCAACACAACCATAACGTCCAAGTAAAGTTCTATGCGATTGCGATCTGGTGATAGTTGGGATTAATGCTGATAGGACTAGACCTACATATTTTATTTTATGGGCTCACGTAACAGCACAAATCGCTCCACAGTGCGCTATGCGCAGCATATGTTTTTACATAAATTGATTCTATGGGTTGTTTTCGCATTGAATTCCCTATTGCCTGCAACGAGCAGCATGCGCATTTGGCACGAGGTCAGTCATTTATGGCACAACAAGGATTTGCACAAAGCATCGACTATCAGTACTTCGAAATCAAAGGGAGCAGTAAAAGCAGCGAGTCGTCGTTGCAGTGTAAAAATGCACCGCCTTGCACTGCGGAATGATAAAGGAAATTGCCGTATTAGAAGTGACCTATCGGTTGTATTAGTTATGAGCATTTCGCTGTTGTAACATGGGTACCTTCATACAACTACGCATGTGGAGGAAAATGCCCAATACGCGACATCCTGTAACTGTAATGAGTTGTCGAGTCTGACCGTGGTACTATGCTTCAGTTGCCTGCGGCAAGCCGGGAGGCTTCTGGTGCCGTAAGGGCTACTCCTGTCAGCGTTGTGGACGCGGCAGGTGCTGCAAGCCCAGTGAGTCTTGGGGCAGACGAGGGCTGTCGAGGGCTGTCGACACATGATGTGTGTTACCGCTTTGAAAGACAATTTCATGATGCCCAGGCTGATTGTGATGTTGATGGCGTGCGTTGCAGTTGCCACATCTCTTTGATAAATATTAGTTAGCGGGAAGAGGATACATCCACAGTGCGTGCTCTATCTACAGCGTTGCTTTCGACTGCGCTTATTTTGTGATGTGTCGGATAAGTGCATTTTGTGCCATATCTTCCAAAACACAATATCGCAACACAACCATAATGTCCAATCCAAACTGTATGCGATGGTGATCTGGCGATAGTTGGCGGTTGATAGTGACGAGGCTAAACCTACATATTTTGCTTGATGAATTTAGATAAAAGCACAAATCGCTCCACAATGCGCTATGCGCAGCATCTGTTTTTAAAGAAATGGATTCTACGGGTCGTTTTCACGTTGAATTCCTTATTGCGTGCAACGAGCAGGCGTGCGCATTTCGCATGAGGTCAGGCCTTTATGGCACAACAAGAATTTGCACGATGCATGGACTATCAGTACTTCGAAAACAAAGGGAGCAGTAAACGCAGCGTGTCGTCGTTGCAACGTGAAAATGCACGGCCGTGCACTGAGGAATGATACTGAAAATTGCCTTGTTAGAAGTGACTTATCGGTTGTATTACTAATGAGCATTTCGCTGTTGTTGCATGAATACCTTCATACAGCAATGCATGTGGAGGAAAATGCCCAGCACGCGACGTCCTGTAACTGTAGTGAGTTGTCGAGTCTGACTGTGGTACTACGCTTCAGTTGCCTGCGGCAAGCCGGGAGGCTTCTGGTGCCGTAAGGGCTACTCCTGTCAGCGTTGTGGACGCGGCAGGTGCTGCAAGCCCAGTGAGTCTTGGGGCAGACGAGGGCTGTCGAGGGCTGCCGACACATGATGTGTGTTACCGCTTCGAAAGACAATTTCATGATGCCCAGGCTGATTGTGATGGCGTTGTTGCAGTTACCACATCTCTTTGGTAAATATGTGTTCGCGGGAAGAGGATACATCAACAGTGCATGCTGTATCCACAACATTGCTTTCAACTGCTCTTATTTTGTGATGTGTCGGATAAGTGCATTTTGCGTCATATCTTCCAAAACACAATATCGCAACACAGCCATAATATCTAATCCAAACTGTATGCGATGGTGATCTGGCGATAGTTGGCGGTTGATAGTGACGAAGCTAGACCTATATATTTTGCTTGATGAGTTTAGATAAAAGCACAAATCGCTCCACAATGCGCTATGCGCAGCATATGTTTTTACACAAATGGGTTCTACGGGTCGTTTTTTGCATTGAATTCCTTATTGCGTGCAACGAGCAGCGTGCGCATTTCGCATGAGGTCAGGCCTTTATGGCACAAGGATTTGCACAAAGCATGGACTATCAGTACTTCGAAAACAAAGGGAGCAGTAAGAGCAGAGTCGTCGCTGCAACGTGAAAATGCACGGCCTTGCACTGAGGAATGACACTGAAAATGGCCTTGTTAGAAGTGACTTATCGGTTGTATTACTAATGAGCATTTCGCTGTTGTTGCATGAATACCTTCATACCACTACGCATGCAATGGAAAATGCCCAACACGCGACATCCCGTAACTGTTGTCCTGTAATGGTTGTCCTGTAACTGTTGTCCAACCTGTAGTGGGTTGTCGAGTCTGACGGTGGCCCTACGCTTCAGTTGCCTGCGGTAAGCCGGGAGGCTTCTGGTGCCGTAAGGGCTACTCCTGTCAGCGTTGTGGACGCGGCAGGTGCTGCAAGCCCCGTGAGTCTTGGGGCAGACGAGGGCAGAAAAGGGCTGTCGACATATGATATGTGTGTTATGGTTTCGAAAGACAATTTCATGATGCCCAGGCTGATTGTGATGTTGATGGCGTGCGTTGCAGTTGCCACATCTCTTTGATAAATATTAGTTAGCGGGAAGAGGATACATCCACAGTGCGTGCTCTATCTACAGCGTTGCTTTCGACTGCGCTTATTTTGTGATGTGTCGGATAAGTGCATTTTGTGCCATATCTACCAAAACGCAATATCGCAACACAACCATAATGTCCCATCCAAACTGTATGCGATGGCGATCTGGCGATAGTTGGCGGTTGATAGTGACGAGGCTAAACCTACATATTTTGCTTTATGAATTTAGATAAAAGCACAATTCGCTCCACAATGCGCTAGGCGCAGCATATGTTTTTTTTTACAGAAATGGATTCTACGGGTTGTTTTCGCACTGAACACTTTATTGCGTGCAACGAGTTTTTTTAACGTACTATGCGCATTTGGCACGAGGTCAGGCCTTTATGACACAACAAGGATTTGCACAAAGCATGGACTAACTGTACTTCGAAAACAAAGGGAGCAGTACAAGCAGCGAGTCGTCGCTGCAACGTGAAAATGCACCGCCTTGCACCGCGGAATGATAATGAAAATTGCCGTATAAAAGTGACTTGTAGGTTGCATAAGTTATGAGCATTTCACTGTTGTAACATGGATGCCTTCACACAACAATGCATGTGGAGGAAAATGCCCAATACGCGACATCCTGTAACTGTAATGAGTTGTCGAGTCTGACCGTTTGTCCTACGCTTCAGTTGCCTGCGGTAAGCCGGGAGGCGTCTGGTGCCGTAAGGGCTACTCCTGTCAGTCTTGTGGACACGGCAGGTGCTGCAGACCGAGTGAGTCTTGGGGCAGACGAAGATTGTCGACTATGCAGCAGTCAGTGATGTGATGTGCTTGAAACAGGAGAAGCTCTTCGACAGCAAATGCAGGACAATTGACATGTGTTTTTTTTGCCAAACGGCAATTTCATGAAGCTAATGTTAAACATGTTGTAGATGACATGCGTTGGAATTACCAGGTCTCTTTAATAAATAATCATTTAGAAGTAAAGGCATGCATTTATAGTGCATGCCCTATCCACAGCATTACCTTCAGCTGTTTTTAAATTGCGATGTGTCGTTTGAGTGTTTTGTGTGTCATGTCTTCAAAACTCAATATCATAAACAACCACAGTGTCCAATCATCCCTATGGCACAGCGAGCCAGTATCTGAGGTGACCTGATTGGGTAATTACCCTTTTTCAGTCAATACTTGCAGATATGTCAACCAGAGTTGCGGTAAAGGTCGCCGGTGCCTCCCCTGCGGACCGTTCAAACGTCTCTGCTGCCAGCGCAGGGTCTCGCTGTGTAAGACTGAGCATCCACTGGTTGCTGGGAGCAGTACATCAGCACATGCACATGAATTGTGGCGTTCCGTGCCCCATCATTTCAGCAGTCTTCATTCAACTCGTTGGCCAAGCCACCCCCTTGTAGCACAAGTCCATGACAGCGGAATCTGTCATATTAAATATCATTGCATGCCTGCACCATTACGACCCCTTGATCCTCGAAATATATCTTGACCCTTGAGATACATCTCGCGTCCATTGGCAGTTTGTAGCTACTTGCATAATCGTGTTTACCTTGTCTGATTACGGAGCTTTCTATTTGTTCACAATCTTCAGATATTGCCAGTACTATCGAGCCGCACCTGTAGCATTCGTTGTCGAAGACATCCCATCGAAATTGAGCCGAGGACACACCAATAGGCCTGACAGTGGAGACGTGCCCATAACGCAAAATGACTAGAGTAAATCTGAAATGGATTTGATTGAATTGGGTCTGTGTCATGGCTCGTTTCGTCTTTTTGCAGTGTTATCTGTCTCTCAATATGTAATCACGCTTTGCCTTGGCCATTGCGTAGTGTTATGTCGATTCGTTGTGTCCTTGCATTCTGTTAGTTTCCTTACGAAATGACAAAATTGGTTCAGTTCTATTTCCGAAGTTCCGCTACATCGCAAGTGACCATGGAATACGTCACGCTTACAAATGCCGTGTATCCCGTTTTAGACGAATGCCAACGGCGTTGCCGGAAGCCCAACCACTGCGTCAAGTGCAAGATTGGCTACTGCTGCCGCAAGGCCTGCTATGGCAAACACTGCAAGCACTAACTGTTACTGGCACCAACTGCAACAGACTTCAACAACAGAACAGCTCGACAGATATGGCGCTAAAGCAACGACACATTCAAGAATATGCGTTTTGGTCTCATTTGTTCAAAAAATGCGCTATAGTTGCTTCTGAATAAACCTATTATCATTCGTCTGCTTCTTGAATGCTGACAGGTCCGCCATGATGCACTTTTTGTGTTGGGGACAAAGGCAGTTGCAAATGGTAACAAGATTTGACGACATTATCCTCTATATGACAACCATAAATGCTACTGCGGAAGAGCATAGGAGCTAAGATGCTTGTCGCCAGCAATGCTCCGTGATGCTGCTTAGCAGAGCACTTCACGGATTGGGTCGACCACAGATTGCGCATCAATCCGCGGACCGGATCGGGCCGGATCAGGTATTTCCATCAAAACATGGATTAGGACCAGACCTGATTTTCAGACCAGGCCCACACACGTTGCATGAATTGAAAACCATTGTAATGGAAGTAATCACTAAATAGTCCCTGAAATGTTCCATTAAGTGATCAACTCGGAACGAAAACATTTAGACTAAAAAATTACATTAGTTTCAACTCTAAGCTATGTATGGGCACGCTGAACAGCACTCAACTCAGCTATAGATTACAAAAATAATGTTTTTGGTCAACAGATAGCACCTTAAAAATGTGCAACAAAGTTACTTTTCTCGGCAGTAAATATCCCTAGAAATATAAAAACCTCTATGTGTCTAACCACTTCAAGTCTTTAATTTCCTCAAGTCTTTTGAACGTAAAAAGTACTGGAAGACATTTCAACATTCTTAGATAGAGCTCTCTCACCCCATGCCATTTGTTCCATTGGAACCGGAACCAAGCCTAACTTCCGAAACGGTATTCGATGCTTCCTTTAAAAAGTCGCCTTCAGTGCCTCATTAGCTGTCAATTGCATCAGATAGTTCTAGGATCGCGAGGTGATGCTCTACTTTGTGGTAAGCTTAGCCGGTCATCGTACCATGTCGTACTCGCTTTCTACCGGCTAACTATTACATCATTTCCGGAACCTGTGACCAGGAATCGTTTCCAATGTAGGTAGTAGGTAAGGCGCACCGTTGGTCACCATGTAGGTTAATACTCTCTCTGGGCTAAAAAGGAGCAGAACCACTGTTGATTGTGTGAGTGAGCATTGTGGTGTGAATGTTGGTGTGTGGAAGTGTGTACAAAATGGAGGTGGTGAGTTACCAAGATCTCTCTTTGACTGACTCTCGAGAAAGGCTGGCGCGAGCGAGGTCTACACTGGTATAACTATCACACCAGCAGTAAGAAATTGGGTACGCATTGGTGCCATGATCCGGATTCGCAAATATCCATTTGCAAGTCGTCAATCTCCAAGTTTTCTTAACCCATCCTGAACCTATCATTAAAAGCTTGAGCCAATATCTAAGTGTGTGAAAGGGTTTCACACGCATTCTTATATGTTGCTACTTACTGATTCACCCGACTACATCCGCACCTATGCCTTCTGAGGGTCAGCTTATTGCACAAGCTATGCAAAAAAATTGTACACGAAAGTGGGGTTCAAGGGCGTACACAACCCGTTATAATATTCAGCGAAGAGAGTCCGTCAAAATTTCAAGACTGGGCAAGGGATGTGGAGAGCATCTTTTGCACAACGGACGATGAACTCATGCGACTTTAAGCAACCCGTACTCCGAGTGGACCTGCAGGAAAACATGTCTCTAGGGTTATTGATAAAAATACACAAATAGGCCTGAATGGTCTCTGTACGTAATTGCATGAGAGAAAGATCTCTATTGCGTTTAAATGCAGTTGCGTCAAGTCAAACAGCATTCTGGAGAACTTGCGCTTTTTCAGGAGGATTCAGGCGCATGCATGCGAGACTTTTCATGATGTGTCTAGTGCCGACGGGCAACGTTTTTCGGCGGAAATTTTCCAAAAAAGGAGAAATTGACGATACTTAGCCCGTGGCATCACCCGTTTGCAATTTTATACGTTTCAGGAAGCAGCTTTGCGTTGTGCGGAGACCGCAAAAACCTACTTCACATTTAAAATGTGTAGAATGAACAATAAGTCCCACTGCGGAACCCGGATGTCGAAATAGTCCGCAGCGTACCTGGTTCTGGAAGAGTGAAAAAAATAGGGGAGGCGCTTAAAGAACTAGGCCCAAAGTTGGATAGCCTCGAAATAGGTGTCAGCTTCAAAACGGAATTCGCATCCGTGCGTAACAAAGAGTCAAGATCAACCGCAAAATCGAAGATATACAACCCGAAATGGACCGCCGCGGAAACATCCATAAATTTTGCACAATCACGTCACTTTCAGCCGTCTCAACGGTCGGGAAAAGCAGGTTACCGCGACGGATTTTCACTCCATCTTCGTTTCAGCCTCCGCATCAACCTCCGAACTTGCAGCAAAACGAGCTTTATGATGCGCGTTCAAGTTATTAGTGGGTAAATGATGGTTGTCCTGCATGGCTATTTGCACAAAAATAGGCCGCTCTCAACGTAAAAGTCGTGCTGGAAACAATCCTCAGCGCTCTAACGTCAAAAAAGTCCGGGAAACTAAGTCGGTCCTCTGTTCTTAGAACTGAGCAAAAGGAGGGCCAATGTGAAAATGGCTTACCTGGCAAAAGTGCGCGAATCTTTATAAAATCGAACACTCCTATACGCTGGATATAACTTGGTAATCGTAGAACGTACTCGCTGGTAGATAGGGGCGCGGACTTCCTTATCTCTCTTATTTTCCGTGAAGCATTTGACAGAACCTCGCTTGAAAATGTCTATGATTTCTCGACAAAAAACTACCCTCTTTCAACCCATTTTTGGACATAGCCTTTAAGCTTTTGGAATCGCTATTCTTCCTGTAGCGATTTCAAAGCCCCAAAAAACATTCAAGTTTCAACTTGCAGAAGGTCCTAAAAATCTGTGTTTTGAGAAATGATTTTCTCAAACGCTTTGGTGCAATTAAATTTTGGCAGGAATACGCATGACATTCAAAATAGCATCATTCCTCTACAACCCTCAAAATCTGACATGTCAGTTAGTGACATCTGTAGTCCGGACTCCTCGAAGGGCAACAATTCTTGCGCAGTCTTACGTCAATTTAATTACGTCAATTACGACAATTAGCCAGCTTTCATCAACCGTGCACAGCTCAAAGAGCAAAATTGTTTAATAGAACCGCTGAATGCCGCTCGCTGTCTCAGCGAACAGCCAGGTCTTTTTCCGATGAATCCCGTGGGGTGTCCGGATATAAATGGACGCGCAAAACCGTCCTGGTTAATACCACTACCAGAGACCATACTTTGCCAGCCCGACATGTTACGGGCATTGCTGAAACGTTACAACAAGCCGAAATGCGCACCGTAGAAATAGATAAGGACTCCGGACATCAAAGGACCACTCTGGATCCTACTTCCAAGCTTCAAAAGGCTGATCTGTTACACATGCGTGTCTTTGAGGACAATACAAAGCGGTGTATGTCATCACTGAGATGTGTGAAATCATCCGCACGTGTATCCCCTATTCTCGAATACAACGGCGATGTGTTCGAGGGTGATGAAGAGCGAACCAACTGCCTAAATGAGCATTTCTCCCGAAAGTTTGGTGACCCTACAGTCAGGGCTCTATCCGGCCAGCCACTGTCTGATGCGCTTGGGCTTAACTGCTTTACCGTGCCACATGACCGGGTAGTACAACTGTTGCACGGTGTGTATGCGCAAAAGGGCTGTGGTCCTCATGAACTAAGCGTCAGGATCTTGCGAGAGTGTGCCGATGAGCGGCCGGAACCGATTCAAGGGGCATGCCAACTATCAGTTAGATCCGGCACCTTTTCTAACGAGTGGAAAGAGGCTAACGTGATCCCAGTGTATAAAAATGCAACCAAAATGTTACCTGAAAATCATCGATCTGCATCGCTTCTGCCAAGTTGTTCAAATATTTTAGGGGGTCGCTTATGATAGCCTGCTACCTGCTTCCCTACCGGTCGTACCATCATCCTAGTGTCGTTTCCTTCCGAAACGATCCTGCATCACCAACCTCTCCTGCTTTCTTGAACATTGCTGGACCTTAATTGCCTGAGGCAAACAGACTGACGTCATCTGCACGGATTTTTCCTCGGCGCTCATCAGCGTCAACCATATGCTTCTGTTGCACAAGCTTCGACACTCTTTCGGAATTACTTGTGTCGCGTACGACTGGCTTGAGTCGTACCTGACCGATCGCAAGCAGCGAGTCGTCCTGAATGGCAAGCAGTCTGACTAGGTTCCAGTCCTACCCGGCGTACCAGAGGACAGTACCTTACGACCGCTTTTGGCATCTTTTCTGGGGAACCTACCCAGTCGCATGGCAAATGAGTGCATCATGTGCGACGATGATGTAAAACTCCACCGATGTATTGAAAGCAGCGCAGACTGTGTCCCCGTCCAGTTGGACTTGAATCGTCTCCGCCACTTGTCCAGAACCTGGTGACTCGGCGTCAACCCAGTAAAGTGCAATTTCATTTCTTTCATGCTCCGGACCTCTCCTCTTGTCCATCAGTGCAAAACAGACGGTCACTACCTGTAAACGAGTGATCAGACCCGTGACCTCAGCCTTCTATTGGACGCAAAGCTCACTTTTGCTTCACATGTTGACGCTACGATCGCCATAGTTAAAGGAATGCTTGGTTTAATCGTACGGGGCATGCAAATGCCGAGGTGCGCACGCCAAACGCGTTTCATCCACCCAGCCTTGCTGTGCGCGTTCAACGCTCGTGTGAAAGCGGCAGTTGTGCACGGCAGTGTCATCTGGAGCGGGCTACCATCACACACCTAGCTCGCTTCGAGCGACTCCAGCACAGATTTCTAATATGGATGGCTGCAAACACCCGGGATAAGTGCCCGTCTCCGGAATTTGAGGGTTTTCTCACACATTTCGCATGCTATCAGTCAAGGCCCACTTCATTTAGTCGAATGTTTTATTCATGCACACATATCTCGCCATCAACTGGACTGTGCTCAGCTGACCACACTGTTCGGGCTGGCAGCACCAGTAAGACGTCCGCGCCATACTGGTCTCTTCCACGCGCCGCTTGGAAGAGTCAGCACCGTAAAAGCAGGATTCCCTGTCCGCATTCCGTCACCTGCAGCCGCCTTCTTCAAGG